CTAGAGAATTTTGCAGCAAATCTCAGATATTTTATTTCATATGCTAGAGTCTTTTCATGAAGTAGAATTTATTTCATTGAGAGAAAAGAATGCTATTTCTGAAAACATGATGCTAAGCCATGTATTCTCCCCCAAATTTCCTTAATGTTTAACATTTAACGTAATTCTGTGTACAAGAAATATTGAAAATTTGTAGTGTTAATGTTAGACTAAGACAAAATCCCAGTGAGATTTCGTGTAGATAGGATCATCAAGAGGCTGGACGATGGTTAAATGTGCTCCAGGACCTGCTTCCTCAGGACTGTGTTTGGCAACAAAACATACCCCTAACATTCATCAATCGAATAGCCATATTCTCCTCACAAAGATGTCAGTTCTGTGGTAAAATTTAGTGAAGGTACAAAATGTTAGGGGATCCAGGAGCAGGCAGTGCTCGCTTAACCCTTCATTGCCTCACTCTCTCCAGCCATCGTTTATAGGAAAACACCTGTTTCTTGGGCACCTGCAGAATTAGCACATAGAAAAACAACTTGCCCATCTTCATTCTGCTTACTCCTAGGGCACATGCTGGGAGCAGTGTTAGAAGATTTGCTAAAATTGAACGCATTCATTTGTACACACCAAAACACTATTCAGAGGGTGGATAATATTCAGAAATGGATCCTCTGAAAAGACCATAGCATAATTGTGTAGGTTTTAGTTTGTGAGCTGTTTTTCACTGGGTCTAGCTGCTTATGTTGTCTCACTGTCCAGACATCAGGAAGTGTGTCAGTGTTGTGTAATTTAGTAGCCTCAGTGCCCAGCCAGAGGTGGACATGTCGTGGGCCCTCATAAACATTTGTTGGATGAATAAATGGAAAATGATGAAAGGGTGAGTGAATGAAAAAATAGATATTTGAATGAATAAATGGTTCAGTGAAAAAATAGTCCTCAAGAAATAGATGATATGAACTACATTTGCTTAAGCATTCTGCCAAATTCACATATTTTCTGAGATTTATTAGCAAAAGTTTGGAATTTATCATTACGGAATGACTTTTACACATACGTAGCTCTAGCTTACTGCTGCTTTATTATTTTGTTCGTGTGCTACCAAACATTGTGTATTTTGTGTAGACCAAGAACACTTCCTGCCCTGCAGTTTCATGCTAGGTCTAAATGTGCTAGAGGAGCTTTTCCTCTATTGAGCTGTACAGAGTGCTGAAGTATGCCTGCAGATAAGCCACTATCTCGTTCCGTGATAGACCCCAAGTTCCTTTTTTTTTTCATTCATTCAACCATATTTATTGAGCCAGGCAGTGTTCAGGGACTCATTAATGACCTAAACAGATAAAGTCCTGGGTATTCAGGTCCTTTTATACTCTCTATACATCATCTCTGTCAACAGAGTCATCACAACAACACTGTGGTGCAGGTGTTAACTTTTCAAGTTGCTTTTTCTCTTGGTTTGTTACACACACCCAGAGTGCTGATGTGCATTGTCTGACATGCTTCTAGCTTTACAGTATGGGATTATCCTAGACTATGGTTACTTTTTGTGTTGGTTTCCTATTACTGCTATAATAAATTAGCACAAACTTGGTGACTTGAAATAACATTTATTATTTCACATATTTTTTGGGGTCAGATGTCCAGGTTGTTTTGGTTGGTTTCTTGGCTCCACGTCTCACAAGGCCGGGGTCAGAATCCTGATCGACTGGGCTCTTATCTGGAGGCTCTGGGAACGATCTGCTTCTAAGGTCATGCAATTTGTTGGCAGAATCCAGTTCTTGTGGTTGTAAGGAATGAGGGCCCTGTTTCCTTCCTAGATGTCAGCTAGGAGCCATTCTTAGCTTCTGGAGGCTTCTCTCCAGTTCTTGCATGTGGCGCTTATGTCTCAGAGCTGTCAGTGGTGTATTGAATCCTTCTCTCTCTTGAAATCTTTTTGGCTTCCTCTTCCACATCTCTTACTTCCTTTTCTGCCGCATCTCTCTGATTCCAGCTGGAGAAATTTCTCTACTTTTAGGGCACATGTGATGAGATTGGATCCACCCAGACAATCCGGGATAATCTTCCTATATTATGTCTTTATATCTTCAGAGGCCCTTTTGCTACATAACATGACATATTCATGGGTTCCAGGGATTAGGGCATGCGCATCTTTGTGAGGCTCTTCTGCCTACCGCACTCTGACTAAATTACTATGTTTTCTTCATGTGCTATACGGTTGCCCCTGGTTGACGAGTCCTTAGAGGCTAAGAAATATAAATGGTTTGTTTAGCCTCCTGAAACTGTCTTATTTCTGTGTTCCTGGCTTTCCTTTCTTCTGTCAGTGCATGTGCCCCTGGCCGATTTTGTTGTCACTCCTAACTGCTTGTGCTTCTGATCTTCCCCCCATTGATGTCATCTCTGCTGTCTGCCATTTCTCCTTTTCACTTTTTCTCCTTTCTTCTGCCTAATTTTCTTTTCACTTCTCTGTTCCTCAGAAGTTTGTTTTTTATAGCTAGTGACAGTCCCTGTGAACATTTATTTCTGGTTAATGGACCAACTATGATTCTTATTTTGACTATTTTTGTTTACTTTTTAGGAGTTTAGAGCTTAGCTGCCCTTACCAACTAACTAACCAACTGACCATAAGCCTTTGATGTTTAGTGCTGATCTGAATATTTAAGGTTGCTGACAGTTAGGGAGATAAATGAAGCATCACTGTACTTTTGCTTCGGTCAAGAATCAGTTTTTCTTCCTGCTTTAGACATTATCCCCCGACTTTAGTTTTCAGATGCAATATACAAATAACAAATTTATGTGGTCGAAGGGTAACTTGTCTAATGGCTTTATGTGTTACATTTAGCCAGTGGAAAGACAAAGAAATTTTTTAACTCTAGAAATTCAAAACCATTGTTTCTTCAAATATTGTTTCTGCCCAAAGGTCATCATTTTTAATGGTAGACTAGCATGCTGTTGTATGAATCTGCTGTTGCTTATTTAATAAATCTTCTGTTGATGGACATTCAGGTTGTTAACATTATCACATGTATAAACAATGCTGTGATGAACACCTGTGCCCAAATCTATTATTATTTTATTTGGATAGATTCTTGGAAGTGCAATTACTGAGTTAAAGTATACATACATTTTTGATGCTTTTGACATATATTGCCAAATTGCTTTCTAGAAAGTTTGTACATTCTCTTAAGCAAATTGTGACATTGTTTATTTTTGTTTTCCTTCAGTAAGTTTTACACTTTAACATGCCATGAATCGTACTCAAAAATATCATACACCCCAAAACATATTAACATTCATGTTATTATTTTAAAGGTCTCTTCCTAAAGGACTGAAGACTGATATTTTTCCCTTGAAAATAGCTTTCACATTTCATCATTTAATTCATAGAAAAGTTATAGAGAAGCTCAAAGGAATAGAGTTTAAGTTCAGTCATATTGATGCATATTTCTTTTTCTAAAAAAATTCATTAAAAAAAGAAGAATTTTAGATATCCTTAATTTGGAGTTGGGAAAAGTTGAGGCCTGGCACCATGACTTAATGTTTAAAGAGAAAGTTAACTCAAAGCCGTCTAATGGTTATTAATTAAAAACTCACAGTATTTAAATTTGAATTGTTGTTATGTGTATACTTATTTTGCATAGGACAATGGTCATTGTTCTTTAATATTAAATGTATTTAAAATATTACACATTTGTGTGTTTTCTTTTGTAAAGGGGAAGAGCCTCCATCATACCCAGAATGATCATTTCCAGAATGATGGGGTCGGTAAGTGGAAAAATTAGCTCTATGACAACACGCTTTTATGATAAAAGAGATTTACCCCAGATTTTATCATTAGAAGAGGATGGGGACGTGGACACACAAACGCACACACTCACATGAGCATCTTGGAACTCACTTAGTTCTTGCATTCAATATGTCTGCTCTTGTGAATGCTTTGATATGTCACTTCTGAAAAGGGGTGAGTTTGTACCAAGGTACATATATGGAACTTTTGAGAATCAACATTTAAGTCTTCTATGCAGTGTAAGTTTTTGGAACATATTTATATCCTACAAATATTGGATCATACAAATTTCAAGATAAAATTTATTTAAAAGATTTAAAATGTTGGAGAATTGTGTTTTTAAAACAGTAATTGCTTAACCATTTTGTGTGTGGCTGTTTTACAATTGCAAGTCAAGACTTTATTTTGAGGAATTACAAATGTTTTCTAGTCTTAGAAGAATGTGTATTGTGTCTCCGTGTTTATGTGTATGCATGGTTTTCTCTCTTAAGGGACACATCTCCAGCTCCTTGGAAGACATTTTAAAAATTATGCTAGTTTATAAAAGGAGCACTTGTATGTCTCAAGCTAATTTTAGTGAATATGGTAGAATGGTTATGTGTTTTTGGTATGCTTTATCCTTCCACACTGATGATTCTTTGATTATAAGATATCTTATGGCAAACCCGGGAAATCAAGTTTGCCACTGGATGACTTTAATGATTTTCATCTAGGTGAATACATACAGCTATTGAGTGCATCCTTTCTCTATTTATTTTTCAGTTCAGCCCAATCCTTCTGTACTTATTGGCAATCCTATTAGAGCGTATACTCCTCCACCCCCTCTTGGACCTCACCCAAATTTGGGGAAATCTCCAAGCCCTGTTCAAAGAATAGATCCTCACACTGGGACAAGTATTCTTTATGTACCTGCTGTCTATGGAGGGAATGTAGTTATGTCGGTGCCTTTACCTGTAAGTAGACACTTGAGATACTCTCTATTGAGTAAGATAAAATACATGAGTGACTATCCCAAATAGTGTTCTACCAACCTCTTTTTTTTTTTAAACTTTTCAATGCCTATAAGCTTCTTTTAAACTGCTCTTATCTTTAACCTTCGAATTCTGAAAGGACCAAAGAAATGTGAATTGTTGCTTACAATTTGTTATTAGATTGTCAGTAGCTATGAAGAAATCTGTACATTGGACTGACAAGCATTTGTATTGTTTTTAAATGTTTTTACTGGGGAAAATTGGGCTACAAGTTAACAGGGACTAGTAAACTGGACTCTAATAAAGTGATGTTTTTATTTTATCTTTTGCTTTTTCATTCTTAAATAATTCACTAACCCTTTCTAAGAAATATAGTTCTTTGGAGAAGACAGAGAGACTTGGATTAATCTAGCTCCCTTGGATCTAAATTTATCTGAGAAATTCCACACCTTATGAAATCCTACTGGTACTTATAAACATTAAATCCTTTCTAAGAATATAGAGTTTTAGAGGGCTTCCATCTTATGTAAAACTTATTTTTTTTCCTTTAAGATGTTTGAATATTTTGGTAATCAAAAATTTTTGCTGATACAGTAATGTTTCTAAATTCAGGAATTTCAGCCTAGAAAATATTTCTTTGATATAAGACAAGTACTGTAGTTTTAGGAAAAGGTGATTATCGCCATGGATCTGTGACACCCCTGCCCACACACCTAGAATGCAAAAATGCCTAGCTGCAAACACTTGTCAGCCATATTGGTCATGATTGTTCACAATCATGGCAGCCAATGAGAATAACTGTCAATAGAAATATGTAATTCATGCCCAGTCTCCATAGACTTTCAATTTTAGCTGAGTTATTCCTTCCCAGACAGGCTGGCAACATCATACATCATTTGCTTTAAATAGTAAGTCCCTTAGGATTTCTATTTCATTTTACTAGGTCAAAGAGACTTTTATTATATAAGCTTTCTAAGAGTGGGCACTTAACAGTTATAATAAAATAATAGGGGCAGTAGCTCAGATGTCATTGTGTTTGTTCCTTTTATGTTAATATGCAGAGATTATATATTTAGACACACCTGAAGAAATTTTCTAGTTCTGTGGTTTAAGGGAAGAATTGAGTTTATCAAAAGCATTAATTAAATTAGTTGTTTGACTTGTTTGAATTTTGACTACAATAAAAGAACATGAAGTGATCGGTTATTCATATAAAATTGGAACATCTTTTTTTTTTAAGTTGAGACTCCTTAGGCTGAATTCTTTCTTAATTTTTCCCCTGTCCTCTTATTCAAGTCTATTAAACTATGTAACTATACAGTTATGACTGTAAAAGACAGTTTTCATGGTAATCTGTGACATATATACATTCATATTGAGGGAAGGTAATTCAAGATTATAAAATGAATAATTACCAATTCCTTGATTTCTTCCTAACCTGAAAAATGATCAGTTTTCCCTTACACACTAAAGATTAAAGGAGCCTTTTTTTTTTTGCCAGTTAAGATATAGCAATAATTCTACCAGTTGTTACTATTAGAATTGGCTTCTTAGTTATTCACTTTGATAAAATTAACATCTCTGTGTGTTTGCTCTTTCCTAGTTAATAACACTATAGCAGTTTGCCTTCCAAAATGTACTTAATGCAATTATTCTATTTCTTGCAATAACCTAGGTACCATGGACAGGATACCAGGGTAGGTTTGCAGTTGATCCTCGAATCATTACACACCAGGCAGCGATGGCTTACAACATGAACCTCTTACAGACGCATGGACGGGGGTCTCCTATACCTTATGGCCTTGGTCATCACCCACCTGTCAGCATAGGGCAGCCACAAAACCAGCATCAGGAGAAGGATCAGCATGAGCAATGTCGAAATGGTGAGTTGCTTTGCTGTTCTCATGTTCCTAAATTGATGATATGACAGGTGGTAGCAACATACAAAGTTCCTTCAACAATGTGATTGTTAACTCATTCATGGATTATAGATCTCTTTGAGAAGGAATCTGATGTAAAACCTATGGATCCTGTCTCCAGAAGATACAGATATGTACTCAGATACAAAATTTGCATGTAACCTAACTGCTTATGACTGATATTATCAATTTCCTGAAAAAAATGCTTAATTTTAATATTCAGAGTGTTTTAAATGGTAGTCACTTAAAATTGAGACAGAAAATCCTCTCCTGTTAAACATTTTTGTTGACCCTAAATATTTTTGTAGCATACTGAACATTAATGCTACTGTGGTAATAGTTGATTTGAAGTAGTTATTTCTTACACAAATCATAGTCTCTTGTCTACTAGAATTATAGATAAGGAAAAATTACTCTCTAAATTTTTTAAAGTCAGATTTATTGAGGTATAATTTATCTACAGTAAAATCCACCCTTTAAAATATACAGTTTGATGTGTTTTGACAAATATACACAGTTGTTAACCACCACCAATATCAAGATTCAGTGTGTTTACATTACCTCCAAAAGTTCCCTCATACC